AGACCATTCTATGGGGCTTTAACAACACATCATGTTGGTCAAGTCCCTCTCGCTGGCAGAGAATTGGATCATTAAGATGTTGATGCTTCCCCTAAAAGCTTCTCTCCCCTCCCCTTTCCGCCCCCTCCCCCCATTCAATAACTCTTGGAACTCCCCCGATCCACTTTCACTAACTGGCAAAAAAAAGAGTACAGAGTTTTATCTGGGGCCACGAATAAGCCTCAGAAGATAGTTCAAAAGTAGGAGTAAAGCCAGGAGAGGGCCCCTCTTTTTCTGCTTCCCAGCTCTACTACCTACATCTGCCATTCCCAACAGCTCTACTGCCCAGTCGGTCACAATTAAGCCCCTGGCCTCCCACCTTCAGGCTTAGCTCTGTCCCATTGAATATTCTGCTCTGAGCATATTTGTTCATCAAAGTCTTTGGAAACATTTTCAATGGCTGTAGTATAGTCCAGTCTATGGCCCTGGCATAATTGAGCCATTCCCACCTCATAAGGCATCTGAGCTGATTCTCAGCCAAATGAGGATAAGATAAAGATGCCTCTGAGATAATGGAAAGATCACAAGCCTTTCAAGTGAGAAAGCACTTGGACTTCAGAACAGGAAAGTACAGCTAGATGTCCCCAAGTGCATCTTTTCTACCACCCTCAGCATTCAGCAGAGAAAAGGGGAAGCGATAACTTGCTGAGGCCAAGATTGGGTGAACTTCTAGTTGATTTCTCATACTCAGACCTCAAGGCGTGGAGGCAGGAGTTAGCAGGTAGAGAGGTGGGCCAGCCTGGGCATGGCTGACAGTATGTCCAAGCAGGTTTTCCAGTGCTGCAGGTCTTAACCAGGGCTGATTTTGTCCTCTTGGGGACCTTGATCAATGTCTGGAGTCTGAATTGTCACAAATGAAGGGAGAGTTGTTATTGGGATTTAGTGAGTAGAGGCTAAGGGCACTGCTAAATATCCTACAATGCAAAGACAGGTCCTAAAATAGAATTCTTCAACTCACAAAGCTTGTAAGGTTGAAAGATGTGGCTTTAGGGTGACATCAAGATTCCACCCAGTATCCAGAGCAGAGGGTAGGAGGGCTGACAATCCTGAAGGCCTGAGTCCAAGTTACCAATACCCACAAATTGAGGCAAGGGAGAACAGAGAGAGAATATGGGAACTTGGCTGGACAGACAGTAGTTTTACCTGGATGTATGACATCGAGGCACTATTCTTTTGCTTCCTGGGCCCCTAACTGCAGAGCTAGGTTATAGGTTGACTTCTCAGGTAGACGAGACATCTCTGAGGGTGACCCTGAGGAAGGCCACCTCTCCGAATGACCCACAGAGAGAATTCCTCTCTCTCACATCCTCTCCAGTGGATTCTGCTTCTGTAGCATCTCTTAGATCTCCTTCATCCTTTATCAGCTCCAGTACCCTTCTTGCTCTAGAACATCCCTCCTATAGCTGTAAAGTATCCTGCTAGACATACGACTTTCTCCTAGGTCCATCTATAGCTCGCTTCTTCCTACTGAAAAAATCCTTAACTTTAAGGTAGGTATGCAAGGCCCTCTGCAAAGTGTCCCCACCCCACATGCAGCACTCCACTCAGGCCACACTGGACTGCTTTCCCACCACCCTGGTCCTGCCCTGTACTTATTCCTCTTAAAATGCACTCCCTACTTTCCCATTCACCTCACCTGCTGACATGGCCCCAAATGCTCCTAAAAGTTGTAATTCCTTTCTCTTCTAAGTTTCCTTCCAAGCTTTTTCACCCTGTTTAGGCACTAGGCTTTTTCTGTCATATGTGACTCACCTGAGTTCCTGTCTCAGTCCCTTCCTAGCCACAAACTACATTCTGAGTAGGGCTGAGCTGCATCTAGCACTGGGATCTGCTGGCACCCAGCACATGGGTTTACCCATTGTAGATATCAGCAGATGTGTTTTGCCAAATTCCTGTAAATATGCTTTGCTGAGACGCACTTTCAACTTAAAAGCTGGAAATGGTGACTGTTCCTACAGCTGCAAAATCCTGCAGCTACAAACAATAGCACCAGAGGAAGCACGCACTCCAGCCCCATTCAACAATGCAGACTGGTCAGGATAAGGGACTGGCTGTCAGCACGGATACCAATGCTGTGTGCTTTGGGGACACAGGCATTTCTGAGAACACTAGGTGCACTTTCCATTTGCTTCTGACCTGAACAATTCCCAGTTGCATATGCCAGGGCTGAGCAGGTAACTTGTCCTTGAAATGTATCAGGAAGGGAGGTGGACAAGGTGCTAAAGGTGCAAAATGGCTTAAGATACCAAGAGCCTGCCGGTATCTTTAGGCGCATACTCCACTGTGAAACAGCAGCAATCTGGATTTGTGCCAGTAAATATGAAGAAAGGCTGAAAACAGAAGTGGAAGAGTTTTAAATCTTTTAAATTCCTGTCCATAACCACAAGGCAGAATTCTCAGGGTAATAAAGGGCTGCCTAAAGGGAGGCACTCCCAGAACACTGGGGAATCTGCCCGGGAAGTTGCTTTGAACTGCCTTCCCCCAAAGAAGGATTATAAGGGTGGCTTATTCTCCCTCACACATTGCTGCAAGGGGTGTAAAATTAGTAAAACATTTGCCAAGGGCAAACTGGCAAAGTTGAGTGAAATGACAATGACATATACTCTTTAACTCACCATCTCCTTTAAGAGTTGTTTTTTAAGTAAATTCACTCACAGAAAATGACCCAACGATAGTCACTGCAGCATTGCAAAAGCAAAAGACTAGACACAACCTAAATGCTTAACAGTGGGGGATTGGTTAAATAAATTACAAGACATCTGTGTAACGGGAAAAAAGAAAAAGAAATCATTTTCTGCACTGATATGGAATAATCTAAGGTGGATTGCCTGGTGGAATGGGTTCAGTGCAGAATAGCATGTGGCATGTTGCTATCTGTGGGTTTTGTAATGGAACACCGGATGCAATCGCTTGAATATCCAGTCTCTGAAAGTGGACAGGAGAAGCCAGGACACTGCACTGCCTCCAAGGATGGGGGCTGGGTAGGAGAGACTTAGGCATCTTGCTCCTGTGTTTCATGTGAACATACTGCCCACTCAGAACTCATCTGAAGCGCTCAGGACACATGGCCACCATTACTGTCCATTCTCTTTCCTCCTATTTCTTCTCATCTCTGTCACTTGCTCCCATTGCACAGAGAAGCTGTGGTGTGGCTGATTCCAACTTACATTGCTGGAAGGGGTGCTAGTGTCAGGAGCCAGGACTGATGCTGGTCACTTGGAACCTGATGGTAAATGCTCTCACCTCTGCAAGCCTGCACTGGCTCCTGTAGCAAACAGGGATCTGAAGAGTTCCCCTCGCTTGCAGCTGGGAGGATTAAAGCAGACATCGTATGGGAAAGCCATGGTGGGATTCTTTAAGGTTGCTGACCCAGGGAGGCGTACTTCAGCCTGCTCTGGGCTGGCAGAGCTGCTCTGATTCCAGTGGGGAGGGCTCTCTGGAGAGCTGCTGAGAACTGCAGGTGGGAGGGATGCCTGAGGGGTGGCTTGTTTCCCTGTGGACACAAGCAGGGGCAAGCAGCGGAGCAGGTATCCCCACTGGCTCCCTCCAGATCTCTGTTCCCATGAGTATAAAAGGCAAAGAGATTTCCAAGCCAGACATCTACAAATCAATAAACTGCCTTTTGGGCTGGCTACATTGTGTCCTGTAAACCCTGACACACAAAGGCATCCTTGGAAGTGGAAATGTTGGTGACAGAGTAGAGTCACTGCAAAGGTTGTACTTAGGCAAGAGGAATGCACTTGTGAAGGGCTTTGTTCTCCTCCACCCCTGGAGGTAACTTCCTGGGTGGTGGGAGACATCCTGGGAGAGCTCAGGAACTAGAAGTCAGGAAGAAGACAGCCTCTGGAGTGGGTGCACAGGAAATGCACTTGTTCAGGTCACATCTGTCTTGTGGATGCACACTCCTTGCACCCTTCAAACTACCAGCAGGTTGTAAAGCTAGTTGAGGTCAAGTTCTAGCTCTACTACTCTGTGACCTCAGCTAGATTGCTGAAGTTTCCTCCCTCAGTTTCCTCAACTGCAAAACATAGATTATCACAGTACCTATCTCATAGGGTTACTAGGATGTTTAAATGAGTCAAACATATGCAAGTGCTTGGACTAGTAGCTGTCATGGAATAAACCATCAGTAAATGTTAGCTTCTGTGATCATCACTGTCATTGTCATCATCATCATCATCATGTCACCAGCAAGGCCCTCTGCTCTCCTTGGATCTGGTCTGTTATGCTGTCATGTGTCACACTCTATAAACCTTGTGAACCTCAGCCTATCTAGAGCAGTCCTGGTACCCAGTCCAATACTACCCAGGGCCATTTGTAAAGCCTCAACCTCTACTAGCTGGAGACAGCTGGACCCCAGCTGAAGACCTTAGAGCTCTCTGGACAGGGCCTACTGGGTCTCACCAGCCTTGACTCACACTCTTCTAGCCCTGCCTCCTATAGCCCCATCTATCCTTGACCAACTCGAGGTGAGAATGGATATAGGGACAGTGGCCTCCAGTGCCCAGCCTAGCCCTTGCAGAGTTACTCTACTCCTCAGCCTATGCTGAACCAAAGGAGCAGGTGTGTCCATGGCCCCTGCAGCCAGATTCACCTCCCAGTGCTGTCTGCACAAACAACAGAAAATGAATCAGCTGTCCCCAAGTCCCAAGCCAGCATCTTCTTATACCCAAACCAAGTCAATTTAACATCTGACACTTGTGCCAAGAGCTCACATCCAGAAAGGCACATTCCTTTCAGCTTTACAACCTTCACTGACAATTCCCTACTCAGCCTCCAATCCCTGACAGTGGCTACGAGTTAACTGCCAGGATCCTGTGACAGCAGGTGCATGGCCTGCTTCTCTCCCACTGAGGCTGCCAGAGTGGATGTGCATAGTCCAGGATGAGCACCTCTCCTTCTCTGGAAGCCACCTCACACACTGGACCATTAAAAGGATGAGAAATTACAATGGGTCTTACTTTCTGGGAACAAAATCCTGAGCACATCTCCACAGTCATGTTGGCCTGTATCAGGGAGGTGGGGAAGGTGTGTGTGGCATTCTCTGGCAGCTGGAAACACCCGCGGTAGGTGGCAGTCCGCCCTGTGGGGAAGGAAATGGGTTTTTGGTGAGACATGCTATTCATGGTTGTTGGTACCTGTCATAAGGAAAAATACTAGCTTTGGATCCCAAAGCAGGTGTAAATATACTCAAGAGAGTAGCTCTTAAATCAGAAAGGACAAACTGTGCCAGTAGAGGTGCAGGCAAGCCGAGCTCCTGAGAGACTGGCATTGGGACCTGGCTCACCCAGGGTCACTGACAAGGGACTACTTGGTTGAAATGACTAAGCTCAGGTTTTGCTTCTCCTGCCAGTTCTCTGGAGATGGTGCCTACCTGTCTTTTCTTTCTCCTTCCCTTCCTTTCTTCAACAGATTTGCAGTGCGCATTTACTATGTGCCAGATTCTTCAGTGGGTGACTCGTGGACAACTCTATGTCCTCTGATGACATGCATTAAAAGAAAGCAGACCTGAACCTCTGAAATCCTGCCTGTTGCCTTTGTCACTGGTGTCAGACCACTGCAATGCTTCTTAGCAAAGCTGGCCTCGCACTGCTCTTGAACTCCCACCCAAATACTAGGAATACTCCTCAAACCTATGGCACAAAGAAAGCTTCCTGACAAGTTGCTCTCCAGACCTTCTAGTAGAAAAGCCCAGCTCTTTCACTGGCTTCCTTGGTGTTGAACAAACAAACCTTCTGGAATGTTCTGGTGCCAACTGCTCATATAGCTTCCAGACTCACCAGAGTTTCTCTAGATGATGTGCTTATGACCCTTACCCCACACTCCTTTTCATACAAGGTCTTGCAGAGCTCGGCATGTCCCCCAGTTCTCGCTGCCTGCCACCCCTCCTGGCCAGCAGCAAAAATGCCTTAGCCATGGCAGCAGGGAGAGGGCTCTTTCCATGTCACATTGCCAAAGCAGGACCAAACCCTGGCTCTGAAAGCCCATCCAGATCAACTACAGGACCAGTGGTCTCAAAGACAGGGCACAGACCTTGTAGGAAAGACATAGGAAAGCTGCCTGGTGCAGAGAAAACAGCTGGGGTTAGTGTCCTCAGGGCCTGGGTTCAGATCCAGCCACTGCTTGTGAGTCTCTTGCAACTCTGAGGAGAGTCAGTAGGACAGGACAGACAAAGGGAGGGCAGACTGACCAGCATCCCAGTAAGTCTAGGCCACAGGGAGGGACAGCATGGGCCCAAAGGGCTCCGAATGGTGCTCCTGGGGGAAAGGTGCACCTGGTTATCCTACATTCCCTGGAGATGGCCTGTTCTATAGCTTTCTTCCTCACTCCCCAGGTAAGAGCATGAGGACCACCTAGGGCAGAACTACATTGCCAAGGGAAAGGCATTAATGAGTCTGGACTATCCTGATTCCAACCTTGAGGCATGCTTACAGGTCTTGTTCCTTGTGAATGCACCTTGCTAGCCAGAAGGTGCAATTTACAATGAGTGGTCATCTGGTCACCTTTGACAGAGATCCCATCAGCCCAGCCCCTTCAGAAGGGAGCAGGAAGGCAAAGGTCAGCCACACAAGGCTCCACAGCCTGTCCTAAGGGACAGCACTAACAACATTTTCAACATTAGCTATGACCAGCAGGTCTGATGGACTCAAAGACTACCTCTGGCCTGAACGACTGAACCATTTGTCCCTTAGCCAATGGACAATGGAGGCAAAATAGCTGTCTCTAAAAGTCAGTGGCTGAGCAGCCAGGAAGGCTGGTAGGCAGCCCAGAATTTACATACAGGCTTGATTCTGCTGAGGGTCAGAGGTGTGGAGACAGGCTAATGTTTGAACCCAAAGAAATGAAAGATCCAATAAACTATCATGGAGCGGTATAGTCCTCAGGATGCCCATGTGAATGATCAGGACAAACCTTATGCCAGGTCAGGGTTTGGTGAAGAGCAGGTATCAGTGAAAAGAAAAGCACCTGTTGAGTTAATGACCTCATGAGCAAATGCTTCAGCTAGAGTACACTGTCAGTATCTCCACACCATGCTCACTGACTCATCTGGACCTCCTGACTCCCATGCACATCCTGCCTGAACGCAAAAAGCACCTGAGCACCCTAGCTGTCAGGTACAAACTTCTCTGTCTGCACTCTGACCCCATACAGTGGCCAGGTCTGGCACAGGGCTGGGTTTCCGAATTGTTTGGAAAACTTGCTTGTTTCTACAGCAGCCCTCCCAGAAACACCTCTGCAGGCTTAGCTTTTGATCTGACACCTCATTCCCTAGGCTCTGCTCTGGAATCCTGCTACTAGAACCAAAGAGAAGAGGCAGTTGTGCCTATGAGTCAAGGTGCCCAGATGCTGAGCTGTGCTGCCTTCATCTGTTGTCCCACCTTTGCCAGTGGAAGGGGAAGTCTCTACCTATGCTATGAGAGAAGTCTCACTTCTTTCTGCCCTTGCTCTTCCTTGTCATGGGAAGGATGGCCTCCAGAGTGAATGAATGTGTACAACCTATTCTTTCATACAGGAGCCTTTTGTAATTAGATTAAGTGGATTTGGGGCCTATCATCTTATAATAAGGACCATCTTGAGTTTCAAATTCATCTCCTTGGGCCCCCTCGAAGTCCTCTACTTGGCAGCACCTTTCTTGAAATTCTTGCTGATTGATATACCCACTTATTTTTCCTCATGGTTGGTTATTTGTTCTTATGTCCTGGAATTGTGAACTGTAAGCTCACCTTCAGTGAGAATTTCCTATGAGAACCCTTAACACTGAGGCTGGTGAGACAGCTCTCAAGAGAGATTTTATATTTGCCTCTGCCAGGTATCTCCAGATATCCCAGAACCAACTTCTATGCTGAACCCCAAAACTCACAGAAATGCAGGACTATAGTTACAAATTGTTACGAAAGGTTTTTTTCACCTGAAGCTCAAGTCAAAACAGATAAGCTTTCTTTCTGTCTCCCTGAACGGGTATGTGGTTTATTATGACTATGATTTTTATATCTAAACTGCAGTAAAAGTGAGTTCTGCCTTACACAGAGGTTTCAGTCCAGTTCCCATTGGATGATAGGCTCAAGCCCTTCACTGCTGCCCGGCTTAGGCACTAAAACCTATGCTTTGTGGCCACCTAAACTGCCAACTTCACTTTGCAGAAACCCAGGGCACAGCACTGTTTCTTCCTCTTACCACTGTGGTTCTTAGTTCCTTTTTCATTTCTGGACCCAGGGCTTTCCTTACTCTCCCGCTAGTTAAGTGAGGGAGAGGAGAGAAAGGGGGTGTAAAAAGAGTTAAGAGGTGTTATATACACGTACCAATTCCCTACAATGAGTGTAATCATTATGTACTGCAAACACACTAATGTACTATACATACGAATATACTAATAAAAATAATTTTTTTTTTAAATTGCAAAGATGTAGCTCAGTGCGAAGGCCTTGGGGTTCACTCCCAGGACTGCCAGAAAATGAAAATTCAGTAGGTAAGATGTAATGACTTAATATATTTTAACTAAGCCTATCATATGCCAAGTTGCATCTGTACAATTTTTATTTGTAAATTCAAGTAAATATTTTTAAAAACTAAAAAATGATACTGGTTAAATCTTAACCAATTCTTTTAGGTTTTTTTATAGTTAGGGAACTTTCAGATTCTCAGGTCCACTTATTGCTAAAAATCTAAGGTCTTCCCAGTGATACTACAAAATAAACTAAAGCCCACAGGGGAAATGAGCTGTCTGAGGCTATACCACATGTCTGAGGCACACCTAGGACTCCTACCATGTTTCTCCTGCAAGGAACAAGCAAAGACGTGCCTCTATCATAAACTCAAACAGTTAAGGTTTTGATGGACCCTAAGCCTGCCGTACCCTGCCAGGAGCCAGTCCAGCGAAAGTACAGGAAAGGGAGGGCCTACTGCATGGGTTCTGCCCCATGTAGCATGGAGCTGAGGCTATGGAGCAGGTGAGAAATGCAAAGCTCTGGAGAGGTTGGCTACTCACGCTTGCTGGTGCCTGTCTGCAGCATGTCCACGCGGTACACGGAGAGCCGGCCCACGGCCCCACACACAGCGCCCTTCTCGCCCTTACACTCAAGGTTGCACTCATTCAGCCCGATGCGTGCAGTTGGCAGCCGGTTCCCGCAGTAGCACTCTGCCCCAGCCTCCAAGCCAGCATACACGTAGGACCTGCGGAAGACCAAGCTGGGTGAGTCTGGACCTGGGCCCCGAGCAAGGGCTGGGGTCCTAACCACAGGAACATACAGGTCAGGTGATACAGCTGGGTCTAGGGAGATAAGGGCTGGACTTGAAGCTGAGGGTAAGTCTGGGTGAACAGGCAGGGGCCATAGCCATCAGCACAAGGCTGGCCTCATGAATCAGTCTTCATCTAGAATTAAAGGCCATCTGAGATCAGGAACCAGCATTTCCTTTGTAATATACCTTTTGGCCATACCGGTCTGTCTTGTGAGCTCTGAGCTTTGGTGCCACCCATGTTACAGGTTTTGATCGGATGAAATCAGTGCTGTACTGGCAACTGGTTCTGTTAGGAGCTGGGAGGGTCCTGATAGGCAGTGCCAGCCAATTACTGAGGTGGAAATACTCTCACTACAGTCACTGGTTCACAGCAGCTCTCAAAACTGAAGTTTGCCCCAGGCCCAGCACCACTGGTCTGACATACCAGGCACACATCTCATCCTGTTATAAACACGACCTGCTGCATGTCCCTCCTCCTCAGCCACTTCTTCACCTACTTCCCCCAATGTAATTACAGCTGCAGATAAAGAGACCCGAGATGGAATCTGCTACATAAAGCCCAGGAGTGCACTAATAGAAAGCAGTCAACCTTTTTAAACTCCCTTCTCAGTGGATCCTAGAGTAAAAAGCCCAGACTGAGAACCCACACAGAAGCACCTAGTGCCTGTTTGGCCACTTGATAGCTGTGAGATCCTGACATCACTTCCTACATCCAAGTGTCAGTTTCCTTAACTGTTAGGAGACTAACCTGAGACTGTGAGGCCCTCTGTTCTGGCTTTATCTAGGCTGTGAGGCATGTCTAAGTAGGGACCCTGTCATTTCTTTCTCTAGCCTCAGATTTGCCATCGATAAAATGGTGATAATTAATTGTTACCTAGGGGTTGTGGGGCTTTACATAACATAAAAAGTATTAAGGAATCTAAGGTGATAAAATAGAGGAAGAGTAGCCTGCTTGTGCTGTTCTGCCCGTCTCTTATACAAGTGTGTGTATGTGCATGCATGGTGAATTGATTGCCTCAATGGTAAGGCCCATTCTCTGGCGCCTAACACATGTCTGATAACTACTGGGTGAGGTGGCAGTATCAGAAGAGGTAAATCTTACTATAAATGCAAGATCAGAATACTGCTTCCTGCCAGAGGTGGAAAAGGCCTCAGAAAAATCTATGTTAAAGACCTTTGTTTTATTTTATGCAAGAGCAAACTGAGGTTCAGGGAAGGAAAAGAATTCACCAAAGTCAAATAGCAGGTCCGTGGCACAACTGGATTAGAAGTCAAGTCTCTTGGCACTGGCCCAGCACCCATGCCATCTGCCAGTGGGCTTTCTCTGGACAACCGAGAGCGGATCAATTGAGATCTCATGACACTAGGACAGCTGACTGTAGCCAAGGCATCACCAGGTTCAGGGACTGAGTCCTGACTTTATTTCCAGTGCAGTCACCAGAGGTGTCTCCAGCACTTACCGCTCAGCACACGCATCCTGGCAATGGGCAACCGTCATCTTCCTCAAGTCATAGAACACTGCCCCCTTCAGAGTTCTCTCCTGGCCTTCGTCACTGAAGCATCCAACATAGGTGCCTGTAAGGAGGCAAACTGCAATCAGAGGACTGGGAGAGGCATCACCTTTAGGGAAAGCCAGGGACTCTCCAGCCCTCCTGGCCTGGGTGCCTTCAGGGAAACACAAGAAGTGAGGGCTGCAGTCCAACTTACCCTTGGTGCAGGAGCTAAGCAGGCACCTGGACATCTCCATCTTATTTATTTTCCACCCTTTTCTCAGTTAATAGCCCAGGGTCCACCCGCACAGCTCTGCCAGGAGCCTGGTATCAGCCTGGCTACTGCTCTCCTCTACCACTCCCCAACTGCCTATATCTGCATTTGGGATTTTTAAATTCACTATTATTATTCAATTGTACATATTATAGGGTACAGTTTGATCATTCAATGTATGTATATGGTGTACAATGACCAAATCAGGGTAGTTAGCATATCCATCTCCTTAAATATTAAAAAATCTTTTTTATTTACATGTAATAATTGGATGGTTTAATGGCCTCCCATGGCCATCAGCACCTCCTCCCCATCCTTTCTACCAGGCACAGTGAGGCCCCTTTGCCTTTCTAAAGGTCCCAAGAGATACTCCTGTGGCCTCCATGGAGAGGAATGGGAAGACTGACAGTCCCTAAGCAAGGAAAAGCTGACAGTAGCTGACATAAACAAGATCTTTCAAAAGTGGGGAGCTGTGTTTATAAAGAAATTTAATGTCTGCTCTTAGAGTGCCTACGAGGAGTCTGTTAGAGTGTAAGATGAGAACCTGGGTGGGAATCAGTGGGGCCAAGTGACCACAGAGCCCTCTGAAGTCTCCTTGGTACATCTCTGTCCCTCATCAGGGATGCTGGAGGATGACGTGAGGCAGTGGTGACACTGACCTAACCAGGCAAGGGCCAGTGGAAGTCTGATCGACCCTGCCCTGTCCCTCCAGGGAAGGAAATGCCTCCTGGAGATGTACAGAAAACTCAAGAGAATGTGAGCACAATGCAAACACAGCATCAGGCATGTAAATGTCACTCACATCAGTGTTTTGAAGGAATGGGACTGGGAATTTGCAAACACGCCACCACATGGTCCCCAAGCTGTGACTGCATACCCACAATAGCTGTGCTGAGACCTGGATTGGGCACCTGTGATAAAGACGTCACACATCTCCCCAAGAGTGTCTGCAGTCTGCTATTTGGTGTCTCTGAAATGTCACCTGTGGTGTGCATGCCTCCAGAGAAATTAGGCTGTCCCTGGAAGGCACATGCGAAAGGCTTCTAGGCAGCCTGTGACTCTCACATGGTATTTTGGTGAGGAGGAAAGTCCTGATGGCCTGATGCTTCCCAAACTCTCTGAGGGTAGGGAAAACTCATTTTTATTCCTGGCAAGAATGTGGTCCAAAGCAGGGCCCCAGGGCCACATGCTGAGGAGCACAGAGGAGTGGGTTCACTGTCTTTTCACTCTGGGGTCCACAGCAGGTAGTGGTGTTCCTGTCTGTGAGCACTGCCACACTGCATTCCTCCTCTGACCTTGCTAAGTCACTTCAACTGTCTGTGCCTCAGTTTCCTCCATAAGTGCCAACATCTACACCTCCCCCTACTCAGGCTCATTTGTCCTGCCCCACCTTTGGCCCATCCCTGCTCCTCCTTCAAGTCCACTCTATGCTTCCTATCTGCCCTGAAGGCTGAGACCCTTGACTCCAACCACTCCAGCCTTTCTTTTCTCCGGATTCTTCTATGTTTTGCCTGAAAACTCATCTATCAGCCACATCCTTGCCATTAACTGTTGCTATTAAAAATCTTCTAAATCCATGCATCTTGTCTCTGCAAAATGACTGGAGCCTCCTGGAGGGCGGGGGTTATGCCTGCCTTCACCCTACCTGGTGAGCCCTCAGTTGCTCATCAGGATTAGGCACAATGTCAGTGTCAGTGCCTAACTGACCAGTGGGTTATACCTCCTAAGAACCATACTTTGATGTCCTGTGGGCACAAGGGTGGGCTCAAGAGAGCCAAACACAGGAAGGGGATGGACTTGCTGACTTGTATCAAGAGCAGTTCCCAGGTTCTAATTTAAAAGAGGCACAGCAGAGGAGAATCACAATGGCTGCAGGATCCAAAGGTCCCAAAGACCCTCAGATCAGAGGACACCAGGGATGAGGGATGAGCAAACATCCACCTTCATTCATGTCTGCCAAAGATCTGGCCCTTTCCCAAGCTATGAGCCTCCTGGGGTCACCTTCATGGAGGGATGCTTATCAGCATCTAAGGCCACACCCGGTGCACCTCCACAAGCACCTGCTACTTCCCTTACCCTGAGGTTGCTTCCCTGACCCCAAGCCCTGCAAGCTTCTCTCTCCTGTAAGCCTCAGGAATATGGCACACAGCATGCATCACTGCAGAAACTTCACCCAGGGCAATGGGCATGCATTCTTCTCCTCTGCCTGCCTCGTTAGTAAAAGAAAACCACTACATGAGAATTTTCTGATGTGTTGCTCAGCAAAGAAGAGAGTTCGTTACTGCTTTTAATTAAACACCCAAAATATTTATCACTGTAGTTGGGGAATTTAACCACAAGGTTCTAAAGGTGCCTTGGCTCAAAAATTTCCAAGGCTGAGGCAGGAATAGACATATTTCTGGGCAACTGGATGGAAAGAGCCTGTGGGAATAGACTGACTTGGGTTCAAATCACAGTTCCATCACTACCTATCTGTGTAACCTGGGATGCACAGCTTGCCCTCTCTGAGTCTGTTTCTCCATCTGTGAAATGGGAACATGGTGCCAATGCCATGGATTGTGAAAATTACACAAGACACCGTATATCAAGTGTCTAACACCAGCCTTGGTATAGGAAGTGCTCAGTTATTATTCACAGATCATTATAAATAATGAAAAATTCTCAATGCCTTTTATTTCCCTGACACACAAATTCTTCACCATTAAAACAGTGAGAACGCCACTTACACCAGAAGGCTGTGTGAAGATGAAATTAAATGATGACAGATGTACATCTATGCTAAACAACTATTGTTATTCTGATCCTACATTCTAACCCGAGCCTACTGTGATGAGGAATTGGTAAACATTAGTTGAATAATTAGCACATTAATAAAGGAGAGAAAAAGTAGTTTCAGGCAGGCGGGCTTGGGTTCTTGTGAACACAGGGGTGTCCAGGAGTTACTGACTGGCCAGTTATGGGCCTGACCAGGGTGGAGAGGAAGCCCCCACTCGCCTCTTTTCCTGTGTGGCCAGGCCTGAGATGCAGATGGACCCTCTGGTTTGTGAGTAGCAGGTGAGCCCTTTTACTCTGAAACATAACAAATGGCTTTTCTAACTTTCTGACAGAAGCACGAATGTGCAAAGAAGAAAGAACTTTCGAGGGATACGCTGGGACACATCCCAAGGTGGATTTATTACTTTCGGCTGAAATGAAGGCAATGCATTATTGTGTGTGACTCCACATCTGTTCATTTGCACATCAAAATGGACAAGCCGTGAGGCTATTAACGATGGCTTTGGAGATATTGGAATGTCTTTGGAAATTACTATCAATAAAAAACAAACTGGCTATGGAGAAGTTACTATTTTTCCCCTAGTAAACTTACTGACATTTTATTCCATTATGGATGTTGTCCAAGGTATAATGAAATGCGTCGTGATTGATGGAGCCTCCTGCAGCTTCCGAGGCTTGCAGGATCCCCTTTCAGGAGTGTGGCGGGCTGCCCAAGCCACAAAGAGAAGCTTGCTTTGTCTGCAGCCCCAGCAGCTATACTGAGGGCTGCATTCTAGGCCCTCTCCACCAGTGAGGGCTGCCTGGCTGCACAGGACCCCCACATCCCAGGGCCCCCAGAAGGCTTCTAGGCCAGCGTCCTGCCTTCCCCTGCTTTCCCTGAAGACCTCCAGCCATGTAACAACAGGGCGTTCCCCAGACAGGCTCTTTCATATTCTGCAGGGTCAGCAATTCCTCCCTAAATCCTGGGGTCTATTAAAAATATTCAACAACCCGTGGAGGGCAGGGACCATTTGGAAATGCCACCATTCAGCACTGATCCTGGGCATCCTGTGGTCCCTAGCCTTCCTGGGTCATGGAGAGGCAGTCAGAGTGCAGAAGACACCCCAGAAGCTAAGAGCGGGAACTACGAACAGGCGTGGAAGTGTCCCTTGCTGCCCTGATAGGATCGTGCTATGCTGTTGGACAGCAGCTGAGTAGCAGTCCTGCTTACATCTAACCACAGTTTCTCCAGCTTTTACTGGAATCCCTTCTGTCATCACTTTAAGTCACTGGAGGTAACTACTGTTCTACACTATCATATTTAATCCTCAAAATAGCCCAGGGATGTGTGTCTCCATCTCCATTTCAGAGCAACCTGGAGGAATCAAGTGAGATGCCCAAGGTCACCCAGCAAAGTTGTGGCTAAGCCAGGATTCAAAACGAGGTCTGTCTGAACCCAAAGCGGGAGCTCTAGGTGACTGGCTCTCGCAGCTCAGCTTGGAGCCTCGTGGAATTCCAGACAGAAAGTGAGCGAAATCTAGGGCACCTTACATCCCAGGCCGCACAGAGCAGAAGGCACAATTTGCCAAGGCCATCAACCTGCAGGGCCTACTTCTCCAGCTGCCATGGAGCCAGATAAAAGGGATACCAATTCTTGACCCTGGGCAGTGATTCTGGGTCCAGAGACACTGCAGAGCACCTACCTTGGCTGTGTGTGGCTGGCCTGGGGGCCTCAGGACCCAGGGTGGGTGACCCATGTGGATCACTCACAAAGCGGTGGAACCAGCGGCGCCGAACTGAGCTGCGGTTCCTCCGGGGCCAGCGGAGTCCAGGTGGGAGCCGGGCCAGAGGGCTCTGCAACATGTCCACATCGAGCAGCAGGTCTGGGCTGACCTGGGAGTCCTGGAGAGCTCTGCTGTCCAGCAGGCCCATGCCCGGTGCCACAGTGGCCACTGGCAAGGCCTGCAGGGTGCCAGGTGCCCGGGGGCCCTGAGGGAGGGCCATTCGGGCCCGCTGCAGTAGCAGCAAGGTGCCGGTCATCAAATAGGCAGCCGTGAGGAAGAGCAGCAGAAACTGCGTCCTGCGGAGAAACTTCTGGAGTCTGAAGAAAGGTTTGGCCATGCCCCTGGGCAGCAGGGCTCCCGGCTGGAGCCCGGGGACGGCTCCTAGCACCCGGGAAGAAGGGAGGCCAGGGCCTCCGAGGGTGTCATCCTCGCATCTTGGCTCCTGGCATCTGCTTGGGCTCTCCTGGGCTACTGTTACTGCACCATGTTCTGCAGATGTTCAGAGGGCACCATCACTTTTCACCAGGAGCCACAGGGCCCTGGAGCTAGCTGCAGCTTCTGCCCAGGTGTCATGATCTTTCCCATCCCTGACCTCTACCAATTCTCATTTCCTGGCTTGGAAACCTGGAAAAATGGAGAAAGAGCACTTAGATGTAATAGAAGAGTCTGGCCCTTCCACTGCCCCATTATTGAATCATCAAAGGCACCGGCCTTGTTGTGGAAGCCCTGGACACAAGACTGGGTTCAGATCCCAGCTCTGCCACTCGCCAGCTTTGTGACAAATTGCTTTACCTCTCTGGGTCTCAGCTTCCTCATCTATAACATTCGGATAATGCCCTGCTCCTGAGTAGTGCTGAAAGTCCTGTGATAACAGCAAAAGCAACAAGCAGGAGAAGAAGCAAGGGCAGCTTCTTACTAAGTCCTAGGTACTCAGCTAAATGTGTTACACATTATCTCATTCAACCAATCCAACGAAGCAGATACTGTAATATCCCTAATTTGCAGATGTGGAAATTAGCGAACTGAGGCAAAGAAGTTTTCCCAGTCACATAGTTGGCAAATGAAAGAGCCAGGGTCTTGCTTGAACAGTCTCCATTCAGATCCTATCCTCATGAAAAAGCCAGCCTGTAATGAGACACCTGCCTATGTAAATGGCTAGGCAATGCATACAGCAGGTGTTGGATACATGCATGCAATGAGCTGACCCCCAGGTGTGCACTGGGATAGCAAGCTGTGTCCTGGAAGGAGGTAATGCAGAGGGTAATAGCTGGCTCTCACAAAGAAGGAGTCCAAGGGAGAGAATAAGATTCAGGAGCTTCCTGCCAGAGCCAAAAGACGAGCCACAGTGCCGAGGCTGGGGCGCCTGGTGCAGACTTTCTGAGCAGCACCCCCACCTCTGAGGGCCCTTGCTCCTCAGGATGTAGAGCTCATGCCAGGCTCTGGTTCCCACTGGCGGAGCCTCTGAAGTGTGCTGTTAGGGTTGGCAGAGGGCTCTGCAGCTGCCTTGAGCCGGGCTGCCGTGTGAGGAAGGCCCTCAACACAAAGGGCAGGCTTGTCCTAGAAGAAAGGGCCCCCGAAGCGTGACTAAGCCAGTGCCCGTAACTAACATGGCCTGGGACCTTTGCCAGGCCCCACAGCCACTCAATGGTTGCTCTGTGTGCCGCCGAGGAAAGACAGACAGTGCGAGAAGAATGTCAAGGCTTGGGCTCTGGAGCTGGCATTCGAGGCCCCCAGAGAAGCAGCCTGGACCAGCACAACCCTTCCTGAGTAAGCACCAAGGGTGTCCAGGTTCCCAGACTCCAGGAAGGGCAGAGACATGGGAACACAGGTTGGCCCGGCCACCCTGGTAATCAGCCAATGAAGGCAGAATGAAATCGAGGCTGTCTGCCACTTGAGAAGGGTCTCAGAGCCTTTCTCTTTAAGCTGTGTATCTGCCAGGCCCACCTCAGAGAGCTTCCGATTTGTAAAACCATGGAGAAAATCCTATGAAATCCTTACTTATCTCTCTGCCTCCAGCTTTGGCCCTGCCAATCCATCTTCCATAAGACTGCAAGGGTGATCCTCCTAACACGCAGATCTGCTCATGGTGCTCCCCTGTTTAAAACCCCTTTCAATAGGGTCCTGGGGCTTTTGGGATAAACTCCAAGCTCCTTAGCTTAAGGTACAGGGCCCCCTTTCGTGATCTGGCCTGTCCATCCTGAGCTCTTGCCAGACCGTTTCTGCTGCACCTCTACCACCATGTTCCAGCCTAGGCACCTACAGCCACAGTACCTGCTGTCTTTCTTTCTACTCCTCCTTTCACTTGGCCGATCCCTGTGCAACCCCTAAGGCTCAGCCCAGGAGTCAGTGCTTTCTAGCACCCATCCATAGGCATACATTCCTTGGTCTTCCCGTACCTTGTGCAGACCACAGTATGATGATTAGCACTGTCCAGCTCCTCGAGCAACCTCAGAGGACTCTGACCTCCTCAAGGGGAGAAGCAATGCCCTATTCATGTTTGTCACTCTGCCCCCCAGCACCTGAGGCATGCCACAATGTGGCTACTCCGTGATCTTTGTGAATACGGTTTTTCAAATTAATGAGAGCACAGAAAAATAAACAAACGGGTCCTGATAATCAGAAACCTGTACCTGTGGGGTCAGATCTCAAATACCATTCATCCAGAGCTGGGGTGGAGCCTGAGCTGTGGGGAAGCTAGGATAACACATAGCCGACAAAGGACACAGCTCCACAGCTGGCGTCTTTCAGACACAGGTGCATTATGCGGGCTTTATCCGGTACCTGTTCCACCCAGTAATTCCATGAAGCAGGGTTTCTGGGTGTGTTTGTAAAAGAGTTCTAATTAAAGGATGTTGGGATCCTATCAAAGGAAAACCCTAGAAAACTAAAATGAAAGGTGAGAGGTGGCATTCCTGTTGGGAAAGAAAGTTTCACTGAGATGGAGCAGAAAGGTAGGCAATGGCCCCACAGTTCAGAATTTTAAAGGCAAGGCTTGGTGTACTGTCCATACACAGCCTATAACTCAGACCTGGACACTTGGTACAAGTAAGACCAAGGTACAGTAGGTTGGGGAATCGTTAGGGCTAATCCATCAGGAGTCAGACTTACCAAGTTCCTCAGGTGCCTCCCAAGTCCTCCCTGGTGTTGCCCCTTCCAAAAGGGTCTCCCCTGGTCTGGCAAGATGGCTGCTAGGCACTGTAAGGCAAATACCATTTGCAAGATAGAGTGCCATGGCCCAGGTCTCCTATAAGGTAGACCGTCACCTCCAACTTTTAAAAAGGCAAGCTGTCCCCATGCCAGAACACTAGCCAAAGTGGGCTGGGGGAACTACATGCCCAAAGCATCAGGAACTTGTCCTCTTGCCCTGGACTTCCACAGCACTTTACCACCAAATTCCTATTTGCCAGTCATTCTCCATTCTCTGCCACAGTCACCACTCCATGAGGCTGACATTACAGTCCCTCCAGGGCATGGATCACACCTGGTTTATCTCCATGTCCCTGGATCTCAATATATAGCTAGCAGGGCAGTGACAAGTCATGTTTGTTGAGTGGCTGAAAAAGGAGCCCTGGGAAGTGGGGAGACTTGGATCATGTACACAAGGGCTCACAGCCAAGCCACCAGGTGAAACAGACAGCAGAACCAGCTGACAGGTATCTAGCCAGTACCTGTCTAGAAGGTCATGGGCAGTGCTCTCTACCCCCGAAGCCAGCAGGCTGTCCATTAGCGCAATCTAGCTCAAACTATTGTCTGGCACAGAGCCTCAGGCTCCTCATCTGTTAAAAAAAGGTATAAGCAGGAATTATCGTGAGATGAAACCAGGGAGTGGATGTGACACTTCTATTAGCTAATGTGAAACAAACTGGTTATAAATGTAAAATAAGTACCACCTGGAGGACAGGCCTACAGCAGCAGTGTTACTGGTGAAATCAGTCTCAGTGGCCCCTGTCCTCCCTCTGATTCCCCCACACCCTGGGGCAGGCTCAGTATCGCACTCTTGCCTGAAGCTCACACCTATGCTAAGACTGCTATTAGCAACTGCTGTTTTTCTCAGTGCCACCATTTATTAAGCTTTGCAGCATTAGTAAACAGGTTAGATGGGCTGCATACTTCACTGGCACCATCTCCTTTACTCCACAAAGTCGCCAAGGCAGAGGCCCTGCTTCCCTATGCTTCAGAGCTGAAGTCTGTCCTAACCTTAGAGGGACGACACTCAGTGCCCAAGATTAGACCATCGGGATCAGTAGTTAGACCCGAGCCACCTGCACCCAGAGCCCCTCTTGTGGCCACTGAACTTCCTGTGTCTCTTCCTACCTCAACCCCAGCTTTGCATGAGGCAAGATTTATTCTTAAAAGGAGTTTTGTGTGCTTCTCTCAGTAGCTTTTTGAATTCATGCCAGGCTCCTGGAGATGATGCTCCACATGGTGTCTGCTGAGCCAAACCTTCCAGGCGCTGCCATGTGGGTAAGTGTCCCGGCCTCCCTGGGCCAGTGGGGAGCAGCCTCAGATTCTCTCCCCTCCTCTGGAAATCTCTGTGTTCTTCCTTGAGGTGAGCTTCCCAGGTGTACCTCTGGTCTCGGAGCCCTGCAAGGTGCTTTGAGGAGAGGCTGGTGGGCCCACTGCACCCCTCCTGAGGCTTGGCCCTGTTGAAAGGGGCCATGTGAGCTGGATAAAAGTGCCCATCCACCACCCTGCTCATTGCCTTCCAGAGGACTTGGAGTTACTGTGGAGCAAAGCAAGGCCTGAGGAGGGGGACCCTGTCTCAGGTGTGAGAGAAGAATAATCAAAGAGAGGGGCTTCTGTGAGTGTCGGGAGGTAGCAGGAGCTCACAGCAGGTGGGACTCAGCAACCCTGAGCCCCAGGGCGGCAGATGGCACCTGCCTCTGTGCCAAGCTGGGGACAGAGGCTGAGAGGTGACAGCAGGAAGAGGAGTAGAGGCAGTCCCTGGAGCTGGCCCAGGTGACCAAGGGCCTCTGATTCCATCTCCCTTCTGCTGCCTTGCCAGAGATGACGTGCAGGAGTAGTGAAGAGGAGAAGGCTCCTAGATGGAACGTGGCCAATTTGACCACTGCGGCAGAGGCTATGAACATCTTGGGACTCAGGGCTATGCACTCTGACTGGGGCAGGAAAGGGGCCCCACAGGCTGCTTTCCAGACATGCAAATGGATACCCATATCAGAGCAGTTCAGAGCCCAGACTCAATGACCACAAACAGGACCACAGTGAAGCCACACACGGGAAACTCCAGGTAGGCTCAGGGCTCCTAGGTGACCTCTCCCTGGCCTTCCTCTTCTGATCTCTGGCTCTGCCCCTACTCAGGCTCAGGGACTATGTGCTAACCACAGTGTCCCTGGCCAGCTTGAGATGCTCAATCCCCACCATCCCACCTAGCTCACCCATGCCCTTCCACCTGTGAGGGACACCTATACCCCATCTCACCATTCAAATGCTTCCAACTTACAAAAGCGGAGCCTCAAGGCTACTTCTTCTCTGATGTTTCCCTGATGCCTGGTGCAGGGCTGTTCAGAGCTGACAGTGAAGCTAAATGCTGCCATGACGATGACCTTTGCCTGGATTTTGTGTTCTACCTTGAGTCAGGCTGCCAGCTAATGCCCGTAAATCCCCTCCCAGCATGCAAGCCCCTTGCAGGGCACTCAGTGCCTCTGCTGCCTCTGAGACCACTGTAATTACTCCAGGATCCCATGCACCTAGGCTCTGAAGGCTAAGAAACCCACTAAACAAAAGCTGCTGCTTTTGGCAGGTATACAGTCTGGGGAATGGGAATGGAGTGTGGTTCCTGTCTTTGAAGAGGCAGATCTCTATCATTTGAACTTGAAGACTTAAGAGAAAAGATTCAAAATATGTGTGCAAAAGATATAAAAGATAATAGTTAACTAGCTTAAATCATTCCACATTGGATACCTATTTCAAACATCACATCATACCCCATTTATATATACAATCATGATTTGTCAGTCACAAATAATAAAAAATACAAAAATTAGAAAGGTCAAAACTCCATTCACTGCAAATGGGAAAAATCTTCCAGTAAATCTATTGCTGAAGTTCTTATAATAATAAATTTTATATGCCACATTTGAGAACGCAGAGTACTTTCACATACTATTAAGTGTGTTGGCTGAATGAGCAGATGAACAAATGAATGAGAGATCTTCCCCCAAACTTAGGAAGTTATTATATTATGAATCATTATCCCCATTATATAGATACAGAATGTGAGCCAGAGAGAAGATCCATTAATTTGAACAAAGCCAAACAACTACTGCTAGAATGAACTCAAGTTTTCTGATTCCAAGGATGGGGTATCACGTGCCATCTCACATGGCCTTCACTTTCTCAGTATCAGATGGGTATCCTTCCCAGCACTGTGGTGGGGCCTGGGGCTTCAAAGACAGACAGGGCTCCATGTGGGGCCTGGCATTTTCTTTCACGATTGATTGGGAGCCCATCTCACTCTTTACACAGCCAATCACAAACTCTCCTGGGCTATCTCTGAGCAATCACTTTAGCAGCTCCCTAATCCTAATTTGTTTGTTCTTATGTTCCTGCACCTGGTGGAGAATCCCTGAAGGGTATCTGGGGCCCAGCTCAGAGTGTGACAGGTAAAGAGGTGATCAAATTCCACTGAGAAATGTGGATAAATCAGAGCTAGTGAGTAGAGCACCCTGCCAAAGTCAGCCTTGCCCTTCTCTGGCCCCATCTCCGCCACCAGGATGGTGACTCAAGCTATGGAAAGGGGACCAAGACACCCGGAGGCATTTCTGTCCTCATGGTCTCACTGTGAAGGCAGCCACCCTCTGGGAGGGGGCTAACATCTCCAGGGGTTTCCAGCAGTGTGGAAAGAGAAGCCCAGGGAAAAGGCCTTAACACATACCAAGAGGTACACTGTACTGCGTAGCTTATAAAATTAATCCGGTCCATTCTTCATCCACTTCGCAAGTCTACACTGGGAGGCAAGGTGTGCATAGATAGGAGTCCTCCCCAACAACATTCCCCCAAACTGGCACACTTGTGATAATTTTTCAGGCCACAGGTCAACATGGTGATATTAAAGGCAAGAAGACATTACAGCCAACAGTAGGAAGCAAGACCATGAGGCACAGGGAAAAAGCGGTGGGAGGCCTTGTTCACCCACTTGTTCCCCAAAGGAGGAGGGCAGGGTCCAGCCCAGCCTGACCCCAGATGTTGGGACTCAGTTCTGGCGCTGCTGGTGTATATCATTATCATTCTCCTGGGCAAAGACCCTGAAGGTCTGTACACTGAGCTCCCCCAAATTCTGAAGTACTTGGCCTTGACCTCACTTGAAGTTCCACAAGGAGGATCAGGGAGCTCATCTCACCAAGACTGACCAGAGTATGAGCCGGGTGGGAATAACAGCTGGGAGTGTCTACAGTGAGAAATACCATGCTCAGATACGATTTGATCTGGGCTTGGAGGCTCCGGGTTCTTAAGACTCTGAGCTACCTGCTCACACTGACTCTACAAGGAACCAGCTCTGTGACTCACTGACTTGGTCTGTGGTGCTTGGACTGAACAGGCTCAGCAGCAGGCCAACCAGTGACCCAGATTACCCCCTTCTGCCTAGTGAGCCAACAGGAGGAAGGGACAGGAGTCTGGCTTTCTGCTTAATCCAGGCTTCTCTTCACTTTTGACCATGTGTTGCAAGGTCCTAAGAACCCACTGAAAAGAGGGATCCCTCACCCTTTCCAGAGGACCTGTGAGAACAAACCTGCTGAGGCCTACAAGATGAAGCTGTAGGTGAGGACTGCCAGTTTCCCACAGGGAAGATCAGGTAGTCCGGGTGCCCACCCAGCCAGCCGCTGGCCAACCTGCCTTCGGCCACTGGGTCCCTGGGTCAGGTCCTGCTGTTCCTCCTAGAAACTCTAGGCTCTGACAGCTTTCCCTGAAGCTCCTTCTCCAGGGGACTTCTCAGGGCCGTGTGTGTGTAATGTTTGGGAGAAATAAACCTGTTCCTACCTGCACAAAAACCACCCCTTGCCCTCTCTCTAGCACTTAGAGCCTTCCAGTAAGGGAGGTACTACAAATAGAACAGGGTCAATCAGTGTGAGGCCTCCTCTAATTCTTTAACTCCCCACCAGCCTTGTGCCTGATAACCTAGTAATTCAAAGAAAAGGTCCTCACTTCTGATCTCAACCATTGCTACAAACATGGGGCAGTGCAAGTACCTCCCAGAACCCAAGCATTCTGTCCCAGCAACAGGAGGGCCGAGGCTTCTGAGGCTCCGGAAGTACAGAGCAGTCTATCCAGGGAGCAGTGGCCAGGGGGCTGGATCCCAGGGCAGGGTTGTGGTGCTGGAACCTCCACAGCAGCACTAAACCGGTCCCTAGAAGGGGCAGAGGTCCGTCTCCCTGTGCCCAAGACCCATGGGAGAGTCAGCGCAGATCAGGTATCACAGATGCACAAATGCTGGGGAAAGCAGTCAGTGAGGCTACTCTGAGGCAGGGGACCCTACCAAGGACGCTTCTGAGGATCAAAGGAAAACTCATATGCAGCACCCAGTCGTGAGTCTGTACACACTTGGGAAGATGCAAAGCTCTATATCGGTTAATTTTCCGAACATATTACGTTTCGATTTTGCCTCCGCCTCTGTTCAAGTTCACCAAGAGATGGGAGAAACCCTCCACTGACCGTTGACCGGAAGCCTGGCTTGGTAGCGGATAGAGAAGGAGCTGCTAATGGTGAACGTCTCCGCCTAGGAGGGAGGCAGTGTGCACCCCAAATCCTGCCCTGGCCCCCCCTAGTCCACTCGGGGCTCCTACCGCGACGCCCTCCCGTGAAGGAGACGGTCGCTGAGACTGCCTGTGAGGAACCAGGCTTGTGCAACTGCCTTGGGCACCCCCGCCCCGGCCCGATTGTTGCGAAGCGCTCCCCCGACCCGACACGCACACGCTCACACATCCCTTCCCGGGTCCAGCGGCCCCAGACCCGGGAGGGCGCCCCCCACCAGGCCACCCCGAAGCCAGAGCAGGTGCAGCCTTGCTGCGCTCCCAGCCGCGGCGTCTACACAAACTTGTTTGCCCGCATCCGGGGAAACCCAGCTCTCAGCACGCACGGGGGTCCCACCTGGGACACCCAGGAGACAGGACTCACCCCGCGATCGCGGCCAGCTGGGGAGCCCGCATCGGCCACTCGCCAGTCTCCCGGGGCGCTGAGCCCGCAGCCCCGCAGTGCCCTGAGCCAAGACGCCCTCGGCGCCCGCACGCCTCTGGCGCTGGCTGCGAGCGGTCCGACGTGCCCGGGCGCGGCGCCGCCGCCCAGCTCCCCGAGGCTGCGGACGTTCGCGCGGAGCCACGGCGGCGGAGCGGGCGCAGAGTGCGAGCGGGCGCCGAGCCGGGCGGGCGGGCGCGGAGCGGGCGAGCGGGCTAGGGGGCGCCCGGCTCTGCACATGCTCACTCGCGCGGCCCGGGGACAGCGGCCGGCCGCTGCCGGGTCCTAGCGGCGCCGGCGCACACGCCTGGCGCTCCCCCGAAAGGAAGGGTCTGGGCTTTGATGCTGGAGACCGACACTGCCCTGACTCGCGAGACATGCACACACGGAGGGCCACACGCGATAATGCAAGTCAAGATGCTGACACCCACTCTGACACACACACACACACACACACACACATGCACTAAGCCACAACCTTGCATCGGAGCCTCACTAATTCTAAAGCACATACACTTACCCCCCCCCCCACTGAGCTCTGCCAGAGGGGCATCTGCCACACTCACTCAGATTCTGACACAGTGACACACACCCCGTCTGGTACAAACATACACTGAATCACCACTTCACAGACACACTGACCCACCCACCCCACCCCACCCCGCCACGTACACACTCTGAGCCTGGTCCACTCTCAGCGACAAGCTGGGGCACGATGACAGACACACACACAAATACACACATGCCATGCACTTTGTAGCACTGTGATAAGAAATTATGGAGTCATAGACACACACTGGGTCACCATCCCATGCGGAGCTGGACACTGACAACTACATCTTTGGCACAGACACACATACGTATAGACACTCACACACATACATATAGACACTCACACACATATCCAGAAACAAGCATACACTGCAGCACACACACACACACACACACACACACACACACAGAGTATCTGAGAGTCCCACAAAGAGCCACAAGCCCACAATGCATTGACAGCATCTCCCTACACACTTAGGGCTCTGCCAGCAGCTCGTCACACTGCTCTACACTGGCACACTGTGACAGACCCCACCTTGAGGCAGTTGCCCACAGAAGCAGTGCCACACACCAGATGGAGTCCACTAACAGACACACTCTTTTACAGAGGAACATACTGGTTATCGCCTCACAGGCAGGCCACACACACACACACACACACAGATGCAACTTCCACCCCCACCCCTTTAAATAAAGGCTGGATCCAACCTTAAGGATTTCCCTTCACTAAGGAGTCCCACTCCTGCTCTCCAGAAGCTCTCAAGTCACAGCATCCACCCTGCCCTGTCAGGTGCACCTGGCACCCAGTCCTCACCCAGGGTTGGCTGCTAAGATCCTCTCAGAGGCCCAGGATAGTAGGGGCAGCAGGCGCAGGTGGAGATGGCTCTAACCCCGTCTTCCTGAAAGGGAGTTGCATGCCTCCGACTCCCGCTAGGGGCAGAGCTGCTTGGCCAGGCTCAGAGGAGCCAGATTTCAACAGGTGCAGGGCAGCGAGAGAGGATTAGATGGGGACCAGTCCTAGCAGGCTTCCTGCAGGTCAGTCAAGGGGTACCAGAGTGGAAAGGACTCACCAAAGTCTGCACAGCTTGTCAAGCCAAGTACAGAACTGGAACAGAGTCGATGGCCTGGAAGTGAAAATTGAGCTCTCTGGATCCCGGGGAGATGTGGGTGAGGACCCAGGGAATGAGAGGCAAATTCTGTGCCATCCCAATATTCCAGGCTTGCAAAAAAGCTCCCTCCGCCATCTGTGTTCTTTACAGCATGTGAATATATGTAATGTTATCAACAGTGGCACCCCACTATGCACCTTTACAATGCTCTTTGGTTTTCACAGCCCTCTCCAGGAGGAGCTACATAATTTGCAAGATCCAATGCAAAAAGAAAATTTGAGATTCAAATTCAAAAATTATCAAGAATTTCAATCAATGAAAGCACGGTATTAAACCAAATGCTGGGCCTTCCTGAGCACAGATGCATAATTCTCATGCCCAAAAAGCCAGCCAGCCCTGGCCCTCTGGTACCCATTGTCCCACTTAAACTCACAATAAGCTGCCTTTACGGGTCCAAGATGAAGCTCTTGACTCCTGGATGATTGTAGCAAGGAGATCCTAGGTGAGCTCAAGTCCAGCTTCTCTGGGAGGCCAGGGTTGCCCTGCAGCTGCCATTTGGAAGAGGCAGTCTTGAAGAGAAACCACATGAGACAAAGGATGCAAGTTGAGGAGTCCATGTCGTGTGCTACCAAGGAAGGAAAAGAGCCTTGGGAAGGGCCAAATGTCCCGAAATACCTGCAGTGCTGGCCTCTGCAGGGGAAGTAGGTAGGCACACCTGCTGACTCCAGGGAGTGATGTTGAGAAAGGGCATTGAGTCGCTGAGAAGGGCTTTGTAAAGGCAGCTTGTTGTCCAAATGGCCAGGAATATTTTAGCACTGGCACAAAGTTCTCTCCCCTAGCAATGGTGACAAATAAGAGGGTGTGAGGGGTCCACTTCAACTAGGTCTGATAACAGAGTCACTCCCAACCCACAACTACTGCCTTCCCTGGGTCCTTTCTACATAGCTGGGACCAACCATTGGTAGTATACCCCTTTTTCTTTTGTCTATGTCCCAAAAGCAGCTGTGGGAAGATATCCTAAAGTCACAGAGGCTTCAGCAATGGTCCCACCATGATGCTGACACATATCCAGTTCTTGCTGAATAATGCACCCCTCCCTGCTTCTCCTCAAGTCTGGGACTAAGAATCAGACCAGTCTGATCTCACTTCTTCCCATCCTTCTGTGTTCGACTCTTGACTACGTCCACTGCTATCTCTTAGGCCCTTAATTATTGGATCCCAAATATATATACTGCTTCCTAACTTCATGTCACCTACTGGTTTCCCCTCCTTCCCTCCTTCTCTTCTTCCTTCCTTCCCTACAGCCATCCTTTAATTTTGTCACCAATCAAGACACCATCATGTGTTAGATTTTTGCCATGAACACTGGTGACTGATAGGAAGAAGCAGTCTCCTCTAGGAGCCTCCACTGTGGAGACATGGAGCAGAAAAGAGTCTCAAAGTCATGGCTGACAATTGTGTGTATAAAACATCATCTGCCATAAAATAAGCACATAATATATTTTAGTAAATATTATATACAGGGTTTTTTTGCCCCAAGGCTTTGCTGGAGTCCAGAAATGCCACATATGCCTTATTCTCCTAATCCACCAGGTTTGTAGTGTTTTCTCTTCTTTTAAATACCACCTCCGCAGAGAGACCTGCTCCAGTCCTCTCCACTCCACTTCCAGCTTCCATTCCTCCTAAAACTCATCACCTCACTATCAGCTTGTGTATTTAGCAGTTTACTCCTGTCTTCTTAATCCTCAGGAACCCTACACCTAGAATTTGAGTGCCCACCACAGCCATGGAAATGTCTGTCTCATGCACAGCTATACTATTTATTAGTGCCTAGCTTAATTCTTGGCACATAGGCATGCTCCCTAAATATTTATTAAATAAACAATTGATTTTCTTCAATTTTAAAAAATTTTAAAAACTTTTTTCCCATTAAGTTTATTGGTACATTTTAGGTATAAAATACAGTTACATTCATCATTGCGATCTTGTACCATTACATGAGTATCTTGGTTCTGATTTTTTTCCCCTTCCCCTGCCCTCCCTTCACCCCCTCCACCCTTCCCTATTTGCAATGACTTTGTTTCCATTTTTGTCCTTTTCTCATATTTTTTTCTTTTCCCTTTTTTCCTTTCCCCTACCCCTCCCACTTCCCCTGCCCCTTTAGATTTTTTCTTCCTGCTATACAATATCAGTTATACATTTTTAAAATTACAATATCAAGATCTAGGAGACATTACCACAGATTTTACAGAATGTAAAAGGATATAGAAAGCATATTTCAAAAATCTGTTTTGAAATAAATTTCATAACTTCTAAGAAGTACCTTGGAAGACAAATTAATGAAACTAACTCT